AGGACCCGGTAGTTTGTGTAGCTTCATTAACGGGGGCCCTCTTACGAACGCTCTTCCGTTGCGAATTTTCGCTCAACATCTCATATAACTCATAAATCGCCTCGGCCGTGTGACTCCCTATGCTTCCACCGGCCGCATGATCGACCATGTATTGAAGAGTTTGGTGGAGACCATCGTAGAAGAATTGGTTGAGCACACCGAGGCAAAAGTGATGATGTGGGCATTGGAGTTGATAGCCCTTGAATCGTTTCCAAGCTTCGTGGAAAGTTTCACCGATGTTTTGACTAAAGCTAGCCATTTGAGTCCGTAGGTCGGTGGTCTTTTGATGAGAGTAGTACTTGCTCATGAACTTCTCGTAAACGGCTTCCCACGTATCGAGCGAGCTCGGAAGCAATGTCATGAACCAAGTCTTGGCTCGGTCTTTCAAGGTGTAAGGGAAGCACCTCATTCGAAGTTGGTTCTCGGTTAGGCCATGGAGTGGGAATGTATTGACGGTTGCATAGAAGTCTCGGATGAAGTTGAGAGCATCCTCTTGAGCTAGGCCGTAGAATGATGGGAGTTGATTTAGGTGGATGGTCTTGAGGTCGTAATTTGGGGCCGCCTCCCCAAGCACGAGGCACGAGGTGTTGTCTCCAATGATAGGTCGTGCGAAGTACCTCATGTTTGGGGGAGGTTTTGGAAGTTGCTCTCCTTGTCCCGCCATTGTTTCGGTTTTGGGTTGCGGTTGTGGCTCCTCAATATTAAGCTCAACGAAAAGGTCGATCGATGGTGTCTCCTCTACGGGTCTACCTCGTCGTCTACCTCGCATAAAAACAAACAACCACTATACCCGTGAACGTATCAATGGGAAACGAGATAAAGCTCAAGAAACAAACACAAATTATCGACAAAAAGCAAGAGAAATCAAGAGAAATACGGAAATTAAGCAAAAAGCACAAAAATCAAGAGAAATACGAGAAAAATAGACAATCAAATAGCAAACTAGGCGTCCTACTTGCCTTCCCCGGCAACGGCACCATTTGTTTAGTATAGAATTGATGGGCAAGGGATAACCGAGCTACCCGACTCGGGTCGATCTCGAAAGGAAGGCTATTCGGAGCTTTGTCTACTAAATGAATGTCCAAATCACAAAAAAGGAAAATAAAGTCCTAAACATTCTAAGAAATTGATTGGATGGTTGATTAACACTAAATGAGCACTTAAAAACGAGCAAACAACTAGAAGCAAAATGAAATCGCGAGCATTTAGCAAACTAGATTACCGGAGTCTCATGCCATGACCATATCGGGATGATAATCAATCGACAAACAGAATAAACGAGCTACGAGCATTAGATTGCTAACCCTAGTCGTCTAACCGAGATCAACAAGCAATTAACGGCTCTATCTACTCAAGCAAGCAATCAAGTTCAAGCATTTCCACCATCATCAATCAAATCCAATTTACTCTAGTGAACATTATAAGTAAAATCGGAGCAAAAACCGAAGTAAAGAGCTTTAAAACTAAATACTCAATCTCCCATTGCGTAGACAATGAAAAACGGAGTCAAAAGCTCAAAACTTGAACGAAACCGAAGTCGTCGGAAAATCTCCCAGAAAATAGCATAAGCTCCTA